AAAAAATTAGCCACGCATCGATTTCTGAGTTTTTATTTATTTATTTATGTGGTCAGTAAACACGACTGTTCCTGACAAAGTCTACAAATCCTTCAAAATGTGTTTTTACTTTGTCAGAATTGTTTCAAATGTTCATGTAACCTCACAGTAACATTACTGCCCTCTAGTGTTCTTTAAAGGGAAAATCCACCACATTGAAATCCGTTATAAATGCATTTCTGATCCCATAATTATAATTCTATAAAACAATGTCTTCTTTTTTATTTATTTTTATTTATTTTACTCCTATATCTATATTTTTGCTTTTTATATTAGCTAACTGTGGTACTCTGCTAAAAATCGCCAACAAGGGCTACTCTCCTCTGGCTCTTGCTCGAGGCGGACACATTCTCCTCTCCCTCCCCTGTTCTCCTCTTCCTCCTGCTTTTCTCCCTGTGTGTTTGAAGCTCCTGGTACACATCTCCTGAATGAAAAATACTATTTTGGATCTGGTGAGCTGGACTTTCAATGTAATCAACAAAATCTTTTCAACAAAATGACAGGGTCCTGGAGAACCCTTTTGTCCGGCTGAGACTCATGCTGCAGGGTACATCAGAGATCCGTGGGGAGTTTTGCAGCTGATTTGTCTCTCAGTTCTGTCTCAGGAGAACGCTAAAGATGTTTATATAATTGGATTTATGATAGCAGGGTTTCTACTCTTTGGCATCAACGGGGCTCTGTTTTATCAACTTTTGAAGAAGACTTCGGCAGCAGTTTCGGCCATGGCAAAGCTTCCGAGTCTGTATGAAGGTTTGATTTGTGCTATGAATACTCAAAATCAGCTGATTTATGAGCTAAACCATAAGATGGAGGTGATTTGTGAGAATCGCAGGTCACCTGCGACTTCTAGGACTCGCCAGCATGTTAGGATCGACCTTGAGGAAGGCTCATAACACGGATCAGTGGAGTGAAATACTCTTAAATCTGCCCATTTTGGACTGGGAAAGTTCCAGCAGGACTCAAGGCTGACAAGAAAAAACTGTCTGCCTGAAGAAAATCAACAATTGTGTCTTATCTGAATCTGACTCCCCCGTTTGGCCTCGGATACGAGCCGACTATCAAATTTCTCCTGGGACATGGGTAACAAGGGACAAATCTTTGTTTATTGCATAACCCCCCATCCCACCCAGAGAACTTATGTGCAGGATTATCAGAACTGCCGGCTGAACAACAACAGCACAGTGGCCTATCTGAAAGGGCTGATTGACAAATCTCAACACCTTGAGGTGAAATGCATATGTAATCATGTTTTTAAATGTGCTTGCTGCTAGAGTTTTTGATGTCTCGAATCATGTCCTAATAGGACAAGATGTGAAGAGATCTTTTTTGTAATACCATTATCCATCCTCATGGCTCTTACCTTTTTCTATCTAAAAGTATTCTGATAAAGAATAAGGGGCTGCGCTATTATAGCAGCAGCAACGTGCACTCTGCTCATCTTTCGGACAACTGTACGAACATAATCTCACTGTATCCCGGTACAATGATAATAAAACTTATTCTGATTCTGAACCTGGAAGAGGAGCGACTATTGTGACATGGACGTTCCTGTGGAGTCCTGTCTCCCATCTTGTCAAACAAAACTGTTGCAGTTCAGGTGTAAAGAGCAAAATCATGCTTGCTTTGTGCATGAGTAAAGTATTTAGTTCAATAACCAAATTATTATGCATGCAGGCAGCACCGCCCTACTCCGGGGCCGAGAACGACTTGATGGAAAAAGGAAAAAACAAAACTCACTGGCATTCTGTAGGAGTAGGGTTTTAGAAAAAATACAAAATAAATACAGAAGAAATGTTTCAATATTAAAAATGATCAAATAAATAAAATAAAAATAAATGAATAAACTCCATGTCCAACTACTGACCAACTCATTCAAGGTCGACAAATCAGACCGTGAGTAACTGCTGTGTCCTTATTTTTACTGAAACATGGCTAAATGACAACATCCCCGACTGCTATACAGTTAGAGGGACTAACATGCTATCGAGCTGACCGGTCGTTTGGGAACGGAGGAAAAGCTCGTGGTGGAGGCATTTGCATTTACATTCGGGATGCCTGGTGCAAAGATGCAGCAGTGGTGTGCAAGCACTGCTTACCATTGGCTGAGTTCATGGTAATAAAGTGCCGTCCTTTTTATCTACCTTGGGAGTTTACTGCAATTTTTTTAGTCGCCGTTTATATTCCTCACACAAGTAACGTGAGTGACAGGACTGTGGCCATGAATGAACTATACCAGCTATTAGTAAACAACAGATGGCACACCCTGATGGTTTTATCACTTTTGCTGGAGATTGTAATCATGCTGATCTTAAGACTGTTTTCCAAAGTTTAATTTGTGGACTTCCCGACAAGGAGAGACAATATTTGGGGTTTAGTTTATACCACTCAAAAAGGAGCATATAACACTACTCCATTATCTCATATTGGTTTTTCTGATCATGTTACTGTCTTGCTTATGCCATCGTACAGAGGGTGAAAGCCATCAAGCCCGTCAAGAAGCAAGCCTGCATGCGCTTCAAGATTGTTTTGATAAAACAGAATGGACAATGTTTAAACAAGCTCTACTTTTTATGACTGTATAGATATTGAAGAATATACAGACACTGTGATCTCTTAAATTGCAAAATGTATCGATGATGTTAAGACCATTATCATCTGAAATAATTATAAACCCTGGTTGACAGATGAGGTTCATAGGTTGCTGAAGGTGAGGGATGACACATTTAAAGCAAACTATGAGGCTGGTTTGAAAGCTGCGAGTATTAATTTGTCCTACGGCATTAGGAGAGTGAAATTGGACTACACACAGGATAACTACCAATTTTAAGGACAGTAGAGATGTGCAGAGTTTATGGAGGGGTGTCCAGGCTATCACATATTACAAACCTGCTGTACAGAGTGTTGAGAGTGATATCTCTCTGTTAAATGATTTAAATTGTTGTTTTTTTTTGCACATTTTGATACCCACACTGATTGGATGTATACAGAGGATACAACCTCTCCCTCATGATTCAGTCTTGCGCCCTTCAGCTGATAGTGTAAGGAAGATTTTTTTTTCTGGCATTAATATCTGTAAGGCGGCAGGTCCAGATAATATACCTAGTCGTGTTGAAAGAATGCACAGAGGAGCTAAAAGATGTCTTCACTGACATGTTTAACATCTCTCTGGAGCAAGCTATTGTTCCATCATGTTCAAAATGGCTACTTTTATACCAGTGCTCAAGAAATCTGCACCATCCTGCTTTAATGACTACCACCCGGTATCATTGACACCTATTGTCATGAACTGTTTTGAACGGCTGATTATGTCACACATCTTCTCTTCCTTCCACCTTAGATCTTTTCCAGTTTGCATATAGAGCTAAACGATCAACTGAGGATGCAATTTGTTTTGCTCTTCATTTTGCTCTTACTCACCTGCATAAAAAGAAGATTCATATATGCTGCATTTAATACTATAATACCGCAACAATTGATTCAAAAATGAGATAAGTTGGGGTTCAGTGCATATTTGCAACTGGCTTTTGGATTTTCTCAGCCAGAGGTCCCAAGTAGTACGAGCATGAAATAAAATCTCGAGCAAGATTATATTGAACACTGGGACCCCCCAAGGCTGCGTACTCAGTCCACTGCTTTTTATCGTTAACACGATTGTAATACAATCCATCCGATTAACCATATGGTGACGTTTGCAGATGATATAACCTTGGTGGGTCTCGTCACTGTGGATGATGAAGCTCACTATGGGGAGGAGGTAAATCTGTTGACAAAATGGTGTAAGACAATCTTTTGTTAAATATTAGTAAGACGAAAGAGATTATTATTGACTCGAAAACGGCATAGGCAGCATCAACCATTGATCATAGTTGATGTTTTAGTGGAGAAGGTGAGCAGGACCAGATTTTTGGGTTATATATCATGGAGAACCTTTCTTGGACCACTAATACTACAGCATTAGTGAGGAAAGCTCAACAACGCTCATATTTTTTGTGTAAACTTAGACGTGCAGGGGCATTCACATTAGTTCTGAGAACTTCTATTGAGAGAATTCTTTCCAGTGGCATTACAGTGTGGGGTGGAAATTACACCGTTGCTTGTAGAAAGGCTCTAGAGAGTATTGTAAATACAGCTGGGAAGATAATTGGTGTTCCACTTCCATCATCGCAAGATATAGACTCTAAGCGACTTACTCGCAGAGCGACCACGATTGTGAATGACGGAAGACATCCAGCACATTACGTTTGAAGTTCTGCCCTCCGGGAAGAGGTACAGAAGCCTTCGTGCACGCACTACTAGACGGTCAAACTGTTTTTTCCCCATCAGGCAGTGAGGCTGAATTCTCTCCCAAGAGTTCTATCCATCTGTGAACTATACGAGTTTAAAGTTATTAGTTTCACCGGGGGATGGCGAGAAACGTAATTTTGATTCTTTGTATGTCTGTATATATGATGAAACTGACAACAGACTTTGACTTTGAAAAAACCTGTGTGGTGACGTTTACTACAGTGGGAGGAGTTTCCCAGGAGCTCTGAGTTTGTCTCACTGACTATGAAAGTTGTGTGCAAAAATTAATTTTCTGCAACCAAATGATCACGGCGACTGTTCTGCTTTGGATGGAGTATGCCGGGCCCTTGACGATCGATTTTGGTCCTCCTTTTACATGTGAACAACTAGTTCTGGATGTCAGCAGCAAACTGGGTGATCCACTATGAGAAGATGCTGCTTATTTAGACTGTTTGTTGCAGCGCCTCAGATTGAAGAAGTCTTGTGGATAAAAGATGAAACGTTTCCATAAAGAAGAATCCATCCAGATGACCTGACTCAACCTGGTTAGATTCATCTACCTGGATTATTGAGCATCAGGACACGATTAAAAAAGGTTTCAAATCCAAATATTCTTTCAATGTTTGTGTTGGACTTAAGACATTTTCAAAAATATATAAATAAATCCCAACTCTTTCTTATGATTCCTAAAATTACCAATTTATTTCTTATACATTGAATTTGACTTGACGGACAATTTCAATTAAAAAATAAAAAATAAACTTGTAATTTTTTTTATTTTTTTTCTTACAGCAGTTAGCAATAGTTTTTAACTCTAGCGAGGCAAAAATAAATACAAACTTTAAATAATTTCAACACTGGGTTTCATTCGACAGGGCAACAGTAGCATTTCACGTTACCGGGGCACAACGATCCAACACAAACGCTTCGTCTTTCTGTCTGAGCGTTTACGCCAAGGAGGAGGTTACTGTGATTACTTATTTTTAAATAATTCTTGATGTCAATTTTTGTGACAAAAACAAAAAAAAATCAAATGACAGAATTCATAAGAGTTTGTCATCACAGATAAAACCCCACACAGAGAGAGGAAGCCTGTGTGACTGGACTGAGCCCAGCAGAAGCAGTTAGGAGACGTGTTTAACATGCAGGGGAAACAGAAAACTGGAAAATATTACAAGCAGAAAAAGATTCTAAATCAAAACCACAACTTAAAGACCCCCTCCCCCAAAAAAATATATAGTAATGCTAACATAAATGAGCTATTTAGAAAATTTTCACATTGATTTTATTTCCATGTACAAAGAAACAATTCCAAAAGGGTTATGTGACTGCTCGAAGTCTTGTTCTTTTTCCCTGACGGACGAGGCAGCAGCGCCCTCTTTTTAACACACTTTACACAAATCCAACCCGTCACACCATCCACTCACTCCTCACCGGTGGTTCGACTGCGCACACAAACCAAAACCACCCATCCATCACTTCTAACCTTTTCATAAGGAAGCTGTCTGACCCACTGATGCTGAGATGGAAGCAGATCTCAAAGCCTTACGCTCAAGCACAAAAAGCTTCGCCTCGACGTCCACCGTTACTTCAGTGCATTCATTAGTCTTTGTTCTCTCCGCCATTTCACTTCTCCTTGTGGTCGCGCTGCTCCCATGTGCTTTTTACAGTTGTACGGAGGCCCGGCAGGGCCACATAGTCATTCTGAAAGCGGGAGTTTGGAGTCCTCTGCCTCTTCCTCTCCCCCTGCGTGATGAAGAAGGCGTCCTCGAAGCGCATACTGGAGGCCGTCGACTACAAAACGAGACGGGAGGAGACTCGGGTGAGTGCAAAGACAAGTTGTGACTCAGAGGATCCAAGTCAGGCTTCCAGTTTCCTGCTAATACTTACAAGTCTACGCTTCACCTTTTTAGGGAGATCTTCATCTAAGGTGTAGACATCTTCCCTTTTAGCCAGAACCTGAGATCCATCTTCAAACTCCACCTGAGAAAACAAGAAAATATTGTCGAGTTTGAAATGCGTCTACTTTTTCCCTAGGCTGAAATTTGCATGAACACAGTCGAAGGGTAAATATTGATAACCTTTATGAAGCTTCAGGGTGATATTTTTAGTGAATCATCTCTAAAGTGCTTTAAGTTTACCATATTTTTCGCCCTATAAGTCACAGTTTTTTGCATAATTTGCATACCCTACGACTTACAAGCCGAAGCAACGTATTCATGGATTTTCCCATATTTATAAACAATTTTTGGCTGAGATATGACCGTTTTCATTCATTCTGACTGTAATATTGAACATTACCATTTTCAGCTGCTAGATGGCACTTGAGTGGTATGGCATGCCGTTGTATCATGTAATAGGTAAAAGTGGCTATTAATGACACCATTGGCTTGCCATAGCCGGCCACTGTCATCTGCCTGGAGCAAAAGTCAAATCAGCTTCATTTAGCTGCACCGCCCTGGCGAAATGCAGTTGATTTGACCAATGAAGTGCATTTATTAAATACAAGTTCAACTGAGACACACCTTATAATGTCTAGCTAACAAATAATTGTTTTAGGTGCTTATATTGTTAAATTTTGAAAAAATACAACAGCGAGTCACCTGTTTCTGCGTATCGGCTTTTGAAAATGCAGCTGATTTGACCGTCAAAGTGCATTTATTAAGGAAAAGTTAGACTGAGACACACCTTTAATATAACTTTGAGCAAGCAAATAATTGTTTTTAAGTGTTAATCTTGTTAAATTCTTGTTAAAAGTCCTCCCGTGCACGCCCCAACAGCCAATCGATTTTTAGCACAACATCGGCCCACATTTCTGGGTTGTCAGCGGTGACGCATAATAGATGCGACTTAAGGCGAAGCAACGAATTTATGGATTTTTCCACTTAGACATATTTGGACTGATGCAACTTATAGGGCGTTGCTTTGTGTACGGTGGAAAATACGGTAAGTCATTCTAAAACAGCAGCAACTAACGTTGCTCTTAGCCCTGCTCTGACTAGCTGAAAGCTCGTCAGTCTGCTCAGAATTAAACTTTTTATACAAACAGGTCGAATATTGCTTCACATTTATCCACAGAACCACTTCAAAAGGTCCCAACTCATCTTTTTTTTAATTGCTCCCTTTAATAATAATAAAATTCTGTTTTAATATAACAGTGGGAAACTCTCAAGACTCTTGTTGTGTTTTGTTTTTTTTTTTTTGTTTTTTTGATGGCCTCCCTTCTCCCCTTACAGCCATCCTCTCCACACCATTATTATGAAATATTTATTATAGTGACTATCTAGTGTAGGTTTTTTTTTTTTTTTTTTTTTCTTTAATAGGATAGAAAGAAAGAAAAGACAAAGTAAGACTCCAAAATATAAGAAATATATCAGAGTCAGAGTCAGAGTTTCTTTATTGTCATTCGCACCTCATGTGGTACATGTGGTGGAGCGAAATTATGTACACAGGGTCCCAGTTACATCCAACAATAAAATGTATAAGAAAAACAGTAATAACATCTAAGATATGAACTAAGAAAAACATCAACTAAATATACACTAAGCACTCATAACATAAAACATTGAACATCACCACAAACATGAACATGAGTCTGTGTGAGCAGATGTGCACGCACGAACACATCAACATTGAAACAGATCAGCAGCAACATGAAACAGATCAGCAGCAACATGATATGGTTTTTCACAGTGATTATTCTAGTTAGAGATTCATGAGTCTAACAGCCTCAGGGTAGAAGCTGTTCCTCAGTCTAGTGGTTCTGCACTTAATGCTCCTTAACCTCCTTCCTGAGGAGAGTGGGGCAAAAAGTGTGTGTGCTGGGTGGGTGGGGTCCGTCATGATGCAGGTGGCCCTCTTCCTGCATCTGGAGGTGTAGATGTCTGTGATGGTGGGGAGACTGATTCCAACAGATTTCTGTGCAGCCTTCACCACTCTCTGCAAAGCTTTTCTTTCTGCAGCTGTGCAGCCTCCATGCCACACATTGATGCTGGAGCACAGGATGCTCTCCACTGCACACCTGTAGAAGGAGGTGAGGACTGAGCTTCCCAGACCAGCTCGCCTCAGCCGTCTGAGGAAGTAGAGTCTCTGATGAGCTTTCTTGATCAGGCTGGTGGTGTTGTTGCTCCAGCTGAGGTTGTCATTCATGTGTACACCCAAGTACTTGTAGCTGGAGACCACTTCCACCGCAGATCCTCTTATGTTCAGGGGGGTGTAGGTGTTTTTGTTCCTTCTGAAGTCCACAATCATCTCCTTTGTCTTCTTCACATTGATGTGAAGGTTATTCTCTCTGCACCAGCTCTCCAGGTGTTCCACCTCCTGCCTGTAGCTGGACTCATCATTGTTTGTGATGCATCCCACCACCGCTGTATCATCTGCAAACTTTACAATGTGACAGCCTGGATGGGTAGCTGCACAATCATATGTGAGCAGAGTAAACAGGAGGGGGCTCAACACACATCCCTGAGGAGAGCCAGTGCTGAGGGTTATGGTGGAGGAGGAGAGGTTGTGGATCCTCACTAACTGTGGTCTGTTTGTTAAAAAGTCTAGTACCCAGTTGCAGATGGAGAGGCTTAGTCCTAGTGTGGATAGTTTGTCCATCAGGGTTTGGGGGATATATACAAAGAGAGCACACGTCAAAACACCCGGCCACTGTCTGTTCACCTGCAAAGAACATGACAAAACACAGCAACAAAATACATATGTATGAAGAACTTAAAATATTCATGGCTTTGCAGTAAGTTTCCATAAATATATATACCCATACCTACGCCTATATACATACATACATACACATGAATATACACTCACATACATATCTATATATCTACATATAAAGCCTACATAAGCATCCCTGCTTCTATTTGTGTGTGGTTGTGAGCATGCATAAGTGTATAAGGCTTCTCTAATAGAACATTTATTAGTAACTGTGAAGCAGCAGAGACCCGACCCCCAAGACCAGAGGCAGACGAAAAAGGGGGGACCAGAGCCCAAGACCCCAGGAGGGACCCCGACCGCGGAGCCCCCAGAGCCACCCACACAGGACGAACCACTCACCCACCCCCCAGAAGGGACCACAGGGGAGAACCGGAAGATCCCCACCAGCAACCACATACAGTGACCCCCCGGGGCCAACAGCGACAAACTCATAGGCCTCCGTCGGCACCCGCCGCACCGATGTAGGTCCAGGTCCAGGCACCGAGGCCCGGGCACCGAGGACTCACACCACCCAGGCCAAGGCCTGACAGGGCCAGAGGACCCGAGCCCCACCAGGCAGACACCAGGCCGAGCCGACACACGCCCAAGCGCCCAGCCCCCGATACCAAGGGCCCCAAGCACGCCGGCAGGCAAGGGCACACCCCACCAGGGGGCCGCGCGATAGGGGCGCGATGCCAAGCACCCCCAGTTGTATCAAAGAGGGGGCAGTCCGAGTCTCAGCCTAACAAATACCCATTCATACACAGACACAATCACACAATCCCAACCTCAATCTCACCTTCATTCACTCAAAGACATACAATAACGATACATTTCATTCTTATTCCCGATACACACTCTATACCCCCCAGGTCCAAGACATGTACCTGCCCTCTACAGGGGGCAGCCCATGCCCAAACCCAAGAGGTAAACCCATTCATTCTTGAGCGGAGAAGAGCCAATACCCCAGACCCGGCCCAGGCCATGCCCCGCCGACAGGACACCCCCCCACCATGAAGAGGACACGCCACCGACCACCCCCACACATCGCCAACAACCAAGCACGCACCCCCAGCCGACCGCCCGCCAGGCCCCGGCAGCCACCCCGGCCAGCAGGCCAACCATGGCACCCAAGAGCCAAGCTCAGGGGGTCCAAACAACCCCAGGGAGAGCACAGCGCCAGCACCGCCCATGGCAACCCCCAGACCCTGAACCCCCACATAGTCCTGGTCAACACCCGACGGCCTGCCCTTCTCCCGGACCCCACCCCCGGAATGGCAGTCAGGGAACTAGGTGGGTAGGAAGAGGAAAAAAAAATAATAAGACTCTTCTACGCCTTCAGAGAAGGCCTAAAAACTTCAGTACATATGAAATGTTACATTTACATTTTTTATTTATTTTATATAAAATATATATTTCCAATGTAGTTTTTTTCTCTAATTTCTCTTATTTACTGTAACAACTTTGCAGGTGAGCAACAAAGCAATTCATGAAAGAAATTATCTAATCAGATTATTTATGAGATTGGTATTATTAGGACTTCACTGTCAGGAAAGAAGTCAAAGTTTCTTGAGGATGAGTTTGTTTAATCAGTGACAGGAAAATTAACCAATGTTGATGTAGAGTGGGTGGGACCAAAATGTGTGGCTCTGAGCCTTCAGGAAGGCCCTGCAGGCATTTTTCTTTTTATTATTTGACCATGTGAAGGTTTGTGATGCATTCAATTGCAACCTGTAAATTTAAAATTCCACACTGAAAATGTATTTGCTCCAAAGAAATGGAAACGGTGGACTTCGTCAGGTCATGTGTTCAGATGTTCTCTTTAGTGTTGGGCTGGAGTTTATGCTCAGGTTGTTGTTCGTGATTGTAAAAAAAAAAATGGCACCATAAATCAGATGTTGTGTCTGATGTACAAAAAGGGAAAATCACTTCCTGTTCAGAGAAGTTTCTGACAGGGAAACTGAAAGTAAAGTGACGTCATTGGACCCCGACTCTGTAGAGTCTTATTAAATTGCTACAATATTAGTAGATCTGAACATGAACCGAAAGCTTAGCTCATAAAGTAACGGTTCGCCACTATTATAGAATCCAGCACAGCCTAGAATTCCTAAAAACACTCTGAACCACTTTCAACCCTCAACATATTAAATCCACATATGAGTTGTTTTAAACATCACTTTTTTTTTTCCAGGAAATTCAAACTTCTAAAATGACACAGTGGTTAAGGCAGGGGGTATTTTAACACACCTTGACAATGGAAAACTCTTGTTCAGCCTTAAAAAAATAAAAATCTGACCCATGTTTTGCTGAGACTGTGCGTCACAGAGGCATTTGTGCACAGCTAATGCTTGACACCCAGCTCAACTAAATAAAGCTTTAAGTGGAAGCCCAGAGACTCTCGGCTGAGTGAATAATTCAGGGAGTTTGAATAATGCAGATTGTCACCTCCTCCTCCTGCTCTCCGTTTCTTTCCTCGACCTATTTTCTTTAACACTGTGCACCTTTTACTTCCTACATCTGTTTTTATTTTTCTTCACCCCAGCATCACTGCTTCTGCCTCTCCACCAACAGACCCGGGGGACTCTTAACGACATCAGGAGTCTCAACAAGCCTGTGCCACTTTGACCAACCACGGCTCCTGCAAGTTTATTTGTTACTCTTAAAGAAAAGAGTGAAACCTAAACCTCTTCTAACCACCAACACGTTAAAAACCAAACAGTACACAGCAGGTGGAGTGTTTGACCAGTGCAGTACCTGGTACATGTACGAAACGTTGGATCCCAGATATTTAGCACCGTAGAAGAGGCCGTCGGGCCATTTTACTTGAACAGCTTCTCCAACCTCTGGAGGACCCAGGTTCACACAGTCTCTGCTCTGAAAATGTCAAAAAAGAACGTTTTACTTTTAGGATTAATGGTGACGTTTATAAAGTGTCAGAATGAATTCAAAACAAGTTTTCTTGTCGAGAATCAGGACACTTCTTCAATTATTCCCAGTGAAAAATAAATCCCAAGGACTGAGAAGGACCAACTATTACATCTGTCAGATAATCATGTTAAAGCTACTTATACAGAAAATCAATAAGATTTACAATTGACAACTTACAAAAATGACAAACTATTTGAATTTTAGCAAATCTATGATTACTGAGATGATAGCTTTACACAGAGCTGGTGGTTTATGATATCCTGTTAATATTAAAGCACAGTTCTAAACAGTTCTCCCAGCTTGTTCTGCTCTGGCGGTCTCCTCCCAGTGAGATGTGCCTGGAAAGCCTGTTAGGGCATTTTTGGTCAACGTTTATGGATGTTTTTAACTACTAAGGCTGAGAATGTTAACTGCCCATGAACCATATGTTTGAGTTAGCAGAGAGAGCTGGATGAAGAGCTGACTGTGGCTTCAAGGACACCTCAGAGTCTGCGAGCTCGGAGGAGCTGATAAGTGTATAAAAACAAGCTTCAGCACTGCCCATGGCAGATTCTCGTGCCTGCTCTGCACGTGTGGACTTTCTGTATCTGTTGTGAAAATCTGACCTTACACCAGGTAAAAATCTTCTCCTGTCGTCGAGTGCGGCTCTGTTTGAGTAAGTAGATCAATAGAGGATATTTTTATCTAACAAAGCCTCATAGTGGAGACATCTTAACCACATGCCCGAACCACCTAGAGAGCTCCCCTGGATTACAGTCTCTGTCTCTAAGGTCGAGTCAGGACACCTTTGGAAAGAAGGTCCATTCAGCCGTTTGTATTGAAGATCTCGTTCTTTTGATCAGGATTCATCACGAGGGTTGGAACACAGACATGCGTTAAATCAAGAAGCTTGCTTTTTGGCTCAGTTCCTTCTTTACCACGACAAGGTGAGCACAACCATTATTACTACAGGTGAAACCCCAATCCATGGATCCATCTCCACCTCTCTCCTACAATCACTCGTGAACAAAACTCCCAGAAGCTTGAACTCTAAAATGGAGCGCTCGGCCTGTTTTAAAACAGAACAAGGCAGAATGATTCTTTCTGGAGCAACACCACCTTAACAACTCTAGGGTGTAGTGTAGGGTCTCCTGTGGCAATTTGGCCTCAAAGGAGAGAAATTAAGAGCAATTTGAAGACCTTGATGTAGAAGAACCACAGAAAAAAGGCAACCTCGCCCAGAACAAAGAAACCAGGGCGCCCTCCTGGAGCCAGGCCCGATGGACGAGAACATTGGAACACGTCTAGTGGTTGAGCCTCGGCTCATCCATTTAGTTTTCTTCATACAGGTTTAAGGGGAGCTGGTGCCAGTATCCAACAGTCCATAGGCACAAGGCAGAAGGATACTGAGACAAATAAGACACTCAGTCCATGGACTGGTAACCTGGTAACAATTAAAGTTACCACATGTAGGTTTGGTCTGTGGGAGGAAACCAATGCATGCTTGGGGAGAACATAAACTTCACATAAGGCCCCAGCCTGGTTCAAACCAGCAGCCTTCTTATTGTGAGGCGGCAGCTCTAACCACTGCTCCACCATGATACCTTGAGCCCTATCTCTCGGGGTGAACGAAATGAAAGAAGAGTCCAGGTTGGGTGATGTGAGAGCTGAGGGGCAGACAAGGGTGGGGTCCACGATTGCTGACTCCAGGTACAAGAAGTTCTTACATGTTCTCTGTAAACAGTTGTTAACATATAACGTCTCAACAGGCAGCAGCTTTCTTAGGAAAATTATTATTCTGCCACACTTATAGATGCTGCAAGTACATTTGTAAATTGTTTACTGGACTCCCTCCTGGAATAAATGTTTGGAATATCTTAAAAGCACTGATGTCTCATTATCCAGAGAACATTTTTTACAAATGACAAAAAGCGGGGGGAGTTGGAGCTGACACAGACAGACTCATTCTGTGGAAAGATTTTTCCGTCACTATTGTCTCCACAACTTTTTTCCTCCCATGCACTGTGTATATAAGATCCATACAGTATATAGGAGCAGTGAAACACGAGGAAAGTGGATACAGTGTTTACACTGCTCACACAGATTGTTTAAGGAGCCGCAGAACTGAATGGTTTTCATGCCTGTGGTCTTTGTGACGTGCTCTAAAACAGTCTACCCAACCAGACACACACAGACTGAAGTTTTATTTCAAGTCCCCAAAATGACCACTTCTATTTTAGACCGTGCTCAACTAAGTGTTGTAACGCTAAGTATAGACAAAACATGCTTGACTCCAACTGCAAAAAGAGTTTCTAAAGAAAGAAATATGAATATTTCTGCTGTGAAAAGGAAATGGGAAGTTCAGACAAGTGCGAGCTGACCCCTCAAGTGTCTAATTAAAGCCGTCCTCACCACAATATCCTCGGGGTAGGTATCATTAGAGAAGGAGCCGTCGTCAAACATGACCTCGTAGAACGTCTGGGAGGTGATCTGCGTGACTTTGGAGCTGTAGTAACGCAGGTTCTTGTGTTTGCAGATCACGGTCTGGCCCAGGGAGATGGAGGCCTGACAGGCTCGCTGGTTCTGGTACGGACAGGAAGCAGAGAGCGGCGGTTAGGCTCACGTATGGAAACAGAGCAGGAAGTCCAATAAAACGTTCTGCTTGACGCCAAAATCTGTAAACGAGGAGCTGAATGTGAAAGACTTCACCGTCTTTGTAGAAGACATGAAACAACCTCTCTGTGAAGTCTGGTGGTGAATTTTGTACAATAAATTTTAAAATCACAGATCTGACACAAACAAGTTTAGATTTTCTGATAAACAATTTGAACAACATTGCTCAAAACTATTTTTGTTGACTTGCGGTTGCTTGATTCTGTTTTACCCTGAACTGGAAACACAAAACATTTTAAAATGTGTTTTTCAAATAAAAAAACATTCGAGCACTGTGTGCCATATTTGTCGTTTTAAACTAAAGCTAATGTTTTATATACATTTATTCACATTTTTGGCTAATGGCATTAAAAAAAAAAAATTTAATATGAAAGTAACTCATCTTTTGGGAAGCTTTGATCACACCCACACTTGATTCAGCTAAAACTGAATTTATTATTTCAAGAAACGACTTATTTTATAAAAACTGTACAAGTCAAGTTAAACATGATCGTAAAGACTTCCAGTGTATTTTTGTTCACACACCACATTATAATCCAGCTTTGAACAGCTACAAGTTTAATTTGTTATATTTGAGCATCGCATTTCAAAGAAAATAGCCACTTAGTACAATTAATATATACCAATTCAAAACATTTAAAAATGTATTGCTTAGGAGATAAATGATTAATCTATACAGAATCTGTTCTAACAGAAGTTGGAATACGTTTTAAACACAAATTAAGATTAAATCTCAGACTTTAAACTGTCCTGGTCTTGGTCTCAATTGTGCAATTCAAAAGTTTAACTAATCTGAAAATTACAGAAAAAAATAAAATAAAGAAAAACAACTTGGCTTTAAAAGGTCTAAACAACTCACACGTTGCACTGTATCATTTAGAGAAAAAGCCTGAGCTGAAACGCCCAGTTGATTAAAAAACAGACACCCCTGCTGCTTTTCAAAGACTCAGAAAGGTCAGCAGCGCTGTTGTGCTGCTGATCAAATCAAATGAATAATGATGAAGGCACAAGAGCTTCTGGAAAAGCACGAGCTTTGTCCGTTTGCTGCTCTGGATCAGTCAGCGCCAACAGAAAGATAAGAACAGAAGACATCTGCAACGAGCAGTTACAAAAATAAATGAAATTTGTTGCTGCCCATCAATCTGAGGGGTTTTAAGATGAGTTTTAATGATTTGGAGTCCATTAATCTACAATTATATATATATATATATGCAAACAGAAAACATTTAGGACATTTGCCAATCTTCCCTGAATTAAATGTTCCACCTTGAGGCTCGATGAGAAGAAATTCATCAGAGAATTTAAAAAAATAACGTGGAGCAATGTCTGAAACAGAAAACATGTAAAATGGAGATTATTGGTCAGAATGCAGATTACTGCATATGGTGAAACCAAATTCAGGATTCCAACTAAGTTAAGTCGGGTCCTCTGGACGGGTTTTCTTTGTTGAAACGCTTCGTCTTTCATCCATAAGACTTCATCAGGCTGAGGAGCCGCAACAAACCCAGTCTTATAAATAGCACCTTAGTAGGTCAACCAGTTTGACCAACCAACAAATTCAAGATTATAGCACAAACGTCTCAGACCAGCTGGTGGAGGGCTGATGGTGTGGGCTTCAGCTGCACTAAGAAGCAAGTTCAAAACTCTGGGGGTGTCCTTAAGAGATCCGTCTCAACTTACAGCTGACGAAGTCTGGGACTGGTGTCTGTGGCAGGTGACCGACACGACGTACGGCCAATCATCCGGCTCCACGCTGACACCGGCAGCGTGGGCGCAGGTCACGTGAAAGGAGGTGGGACACCGGCCGCAGGAGCACTGTATGCAAGCCCCCGCCTGACGCTTCCCCACGCAGCGGCTGCGACAATAGATGCATTTCTGTGAACGCAGACAGACGACGCGGTGAGGTCCAACACACAAACATCCTGACGGCTGGAGGCCTGAACTCACCCCAGGCTAGGAGGTCCTAAACTCTGCAAATACAACGAGAACATTATACGATGGGGAAACGTTACGTATTACACACTGTAATACCAGACGAGCCTGATTGAACATTGTTGGATTTTTACCTGGATTATTGAGCATGGACTTATTACCTACTGTTGTTAAAACAATGAAAAGCAACAACAAACTGATCAAACTTTGTTTTTTTTACTAAATGTAGTCAAGTTTAGGAAACAAATACAAGTTTTACCTAGATGTATATTCATAACTACTACTAAAATTGAATACCGGTAATAAAAATTATAAATAAATAAGTAAACAAATAATTAATTAAGTAAATAAATTATAAATAAGTAAATTGCATTTGCAGCTAAAATCAAGGTGTGAAAATATATTTGAAAAAAAATAAATTAAAAGACAAATCAAAACCAAACAAGAGTGTAAGGATTTCAAACGCTTTGGTAAAGAAGTGCTTGAAATATGTACAACCCACACAAGCATGTGAAGGCAACAAAATCTTTTTTTAGTTTTCATGTTGGCCCATAAAAAGGTTTTTTCTGCTCTCAGCAAGTTAAAAAAAGAAAAGAAAAATAACTCGATATAGAATTTTATGTAAACTCTTTGTTGCTGCACGTGCAGAAAAGCAGCCTCGACTGGACCAGCAGCCCAGTGGGTTTTCATCAGACCAGAGTGTGGCCCAGTACAACATGAAACAACACAACGTTCACACAGCTGTAGTCTGTCCTCCTCTTTCAATGCACCCACAACACACACAGGATGTTACATTTAGTTTGGAAGAATAAAGTGTCACAAGGCGCCTTTATGGCAACACTAAAGAGTTGATGAAAATATTAAAGTGATAGTTTAGATTAGATGTGGACAACATATGGCCTGAGGGCTCAAAGTGGCCCTTGGGCCCCGTTCTAGAATTGCGCCGCTCCAGGTGGCTGCATGTTGGAGCAGCTCTGTTACTTTCATTCTGAGATTTTGCTTTTGGAAACTGTGATTCCTCTTTTTCTGGATGTGGGTCGCGTTTTTTGGATGATTGTTTCTTCTGGTGTCAGATGCTGTGCAGCTGGAAGGATTTTTATTGAAACTTTTTTTAGTTTTGGACATTTGTTATGATGCGTAACCATGGCAACAAGGCAGTTTTCTACAACAACAGCAGCTGATTAACATTTCACAAGCTCAAATAATATCTCAACTACAGCCCCAAATCTCAAATGAGATGAAAAGGATGTTCTGTGGATGCATTCTCATCTACCTGCCAGCTGTGCTCGAGTGCCTGACCACTGAGATCCTGGAACTAGCAGGAAACACGGCTCATGACAGTGGAAGGACAGGATCGTCCATCAGCACCTACAGTTGGCTGTCCGCAGTGACGAGGAGCTCAGCAGACTGCTGGGAGGAGTGGCCATCGCTCTGGGAGGAGTTCTGCTGGCATTCAGGCGGTCCTAAAGCCTGGGGGAACTGAGAGGCCAGCTGAGTCTGGGTGGACGGATCGGACGGCATCTGCAGCCAGTTTCTTAGGATCCACTGTGGGATGGACCTTTACAAGAGATCCTTCCTGTCTACAACCATCAGTATCTTTAACATCTCTTAATGAAATGAGGATAACGAGTTACTACAACAAATAATTTCCCTCTGGGATTAATAAAGTATTTTTGAATTGAATTAAATTGAATTGAATATCCGGCCCCCGATGTCCTATATTTAAATAAGTTGATGAAAACCAGTAACTTTCCAACAAAACCTACGGAAGATTTGGTTTGAGCTCTTTAGTACAGCATTTTTCACACAAAGCTTTTAATAAAAAAAATCAGTAAACAAGTTCTCAGCTTCTTTTTGCAGAGAAAAACAACTTTTTACACGAAGGCACGGGTTTCAACTGTGAATTTTGGAGCTTTGACAAGACGGAGGTTGAACTCAAAGAGATACCTACAGCAGGTAAGATATTAATTGTTCATAATCTTTCCATAAAACTCCCAACGATTGGACAACAAACAAATCGTTCATATGAGGGGATAACTTTAACAGATGGAAACTCCAGGAGGAAGCGTTAACACAAAGTCCTGCACTGGTTCAGTAAAAGGAGACGCCCAAACAATACGAATCAGACGATTCAGAGGTTTCCTCAAGAAAACGGTGCTGCTGTGGTGTATCTAAGAACACAACTGCATGCACACGCACACTAACATGATAAGTCTCTGTTATCAGCTCAGCCTCTGAAATAAATGCCCTCTGTTCATCCCTTTGAAGAAAAAGAAAATCAGTAACAGATCTAATTAGTTTATTGAGACGGCATTAATTAAATTTAGACTCTAAAGCGGAGCTGCTTTTATCTCAACATTTATCAGCTAAACCTGCTTAATTCAAATATCTGTCAACTATCAGGAGGTGCGTGAAGAGACTTTTCTTTCTTCCTGGATATAAACATAAAGGAAATCAGAAACAGGACAATGTGATTTCTAACTTTATCTATGTTTTTTTATTTTAACGAAGTCTCTCTAGCTGCTTCACTTTTCAGCTGAGGGACTTTGAGTCAGAGCTTCCCTCATGACTTCCCTACCTTGACCTACATTTCAGGCTGTTCTCGTACCTCCTGCATTATGGACAGCGTTGTGGTCACAAAGTGACCCTCCTGTCCAATCCATCTATTAAAGTCAGCCTGATGAGATCCTGACTGGCAGGAAATACACCAGTTCAATATGGCCACCCTAGCAAAGCGATCTTAGCAAATAAAAATGGCTACAACTCTGTTAATTTTATAGATATTGAACTTAATCTTGGTGTGGTAGTAGTTGAGGCTCGTCTCCAACTCGTACTCTGAGCTCCAACAGATCATGGAAAATTTATGCCCAAAACTTTGCCATAAACTGCTGGAATCGACTATGTTTGTTAGCAAAACAGCTCCAACAAAGGCTTTTATTGAAGCCTTAAGAAAGTAATCATTGGGTGTAAGATTAATGCCTGGACTCAACTCAATTCAAGATGGCCGCCACTGTCAAATGACCGTTAGAAAACACAAAAAGAGCTACAACTCTGCAATTTTTTTCAGGTATTGAGCTAATGGTGGTAGCTAACAGATAAAAAAAAAAATCTAATGAGATTGTGCATATTTAAGGATGGATATAGATATTTATTATCACAAGATTATGATCCTGGTTTAGGTGGTTGGCGACAAATTCCTTCAAGGCTCACGTTAGTATTTACATGCACACTGTATAATGTGGGGACTGTAGGTGCAATACATCAAAACAAAGTCATAAATCTGAATAGCTTTATATTTTAAAGGATGTTCGAGCCAAAAAAAGAAACTTTTCCCCACGCCTGTGCCTTCTGCTGAGGGTATCTGGGTGCCTGTGTTTAGCCGTGCGTTAAGAACATTCCCACGGTAAATTATGAATGCGTACGTGCGTGTGGCAGTGAATAATGAATGTGAGGCTGCCGGAGTGGCATTGGGTCCAAAGCAAACTTCAAAACTCGATGTGCAAAGAAGACGTGCAAAAATAAGAATGTGGAAGAAGTGTAAATAAACTGAATGACTTGAATTAATCCAAACTCTGTAGAATGCTTTCCCATAACATGCAGGACAGATTGTATTTTTCTGAATGTGCTGCTTTAACAGAACAGTGTTTGTCAACTAAAATAAATTTAAACAGTAGAGAAAGTGCTCTTGTTTTTCTAAGATTTGTATTTAACTCTTCTGCAGCGGGGAGTGAACTCTGCTAAAACCAGTGAAGTTCCTGCATTTTGGCTGCTGAGCTGGTTGTGACCAAGGCTTTTCTGAGCATCCTGCCCTTTCTAATTAGGAAAACAATCTTTATTCTGTTCATACTTTAGCTCATAAATGTGAAATATTACTTCTGAGGTTTGTGTTTTCAAACCCAAATGACCCTAATTTCAATGTGGTGTGAAGAGATCTGAACCGTATCCCCTGTGAACGCTCCGTGGGATTTGTGTTCTCAAACTTGGTGTCCCAATCAATGTCAGAGGAGTAACACACCTCACAAAATGTTTCAATAAGCCTCTTAAAGGAATATTTTTCTATTAAAGCCCTGAACCAATGAAACCAGTGCTGGGATTTGATGAGCAGTATCTCATTGTGCTTCTTGAACACCTTGCTTTCTGCTGAGCAATCACAGTGCCTGCAGCGCAGCGCTAACTTTAGCACCAGTGTGTCAGGTCTGTTGAGAGACACATGTACAGAAAAAACACTAGCACAAAAAAAACTACTCATCCCCCCCCCCCCC